TGGTCGCTAAAGGTAGCACCCTTAGTTACAACCGGGTTACGTTCCTAACTCCTCTGGTCAGCTTGACTGTGAAAGACAATTTTCGGCAGAACCTATGTTCGTGTCATTGCTGATGGTATCGAAAGCTTTGATGAGGTCACGCAAGCTTCCCTAACAGGTGAAAACAGGTCCAGCTCCTGTAAACTATCCTAGAAGGCCGAGCTGCCATTCCATTTATTTCAGTATCATCCGTGCTATCCACTGTTGAAGCAATAACCAGAAGTGTTGAATGTCGGCCAAAGCGGACCGGTTCGTAAAGGCAGTTGGTTTGCATCCGACATACACGATGCGTAATGTTCACAACTAACCAACAGTTGTCCAGCTGGTTTTAGGTAACCATGTACCCGACTGAATACCCGAAAGGTGGGTCAGTCGATCGACATAGTCAGGACAATTTTGGGCCATCCTTCAAGGAGTCGGGCGAACCAATCAAACGTGAGCATGTTCGCCTGCGCAGACGTGAAAGTTCAGGGGTGTCCAGCGTGCACTGGTCGAGTTGTGGTAACGCGCTTGCCTCGTATGTCGGATGTCCTGCGTTCAAACTCGGCATGGCCAAGGATATGCCTGGCTGATGAGAGTAATCACAGCGAAACTCGAGTCCAACGCTTCCCCGCTTTGATGCACTTACCAGAATAGTAGCGTACAAGAAGACATTCATTCAAACGAGAGTGATGTGAACTCGAAGTAGGAGAATTACCTATGCTTACAGATCTGTCGAATTGAGCAACAGGTGCATTGTGGGGAAATTGGCTGGGCAAGTTTTACGGCTAACCAGAATAGAATACTCGAAATCCAAAGTGTGGGCTTACACTAAAAGGAACGCAGGGTGTAACCGACTGAACTTGACCATGAAAGAGACAACATCTGCCTAAGGTCACCTTGTAAACAAAGGCCCTGCCAAAAGTGTTAAGTATGTGATGCCTCCTGTGGCTCATGCCGTGGTTCGAAACGGTACGGAATTTCCCCTTAATCAGTTACAAGCCGGAGAACCCCCTCAGCCAATTTCACCATAAAGCACCTCTGGCTTATTCCGACGATACGGTAACGGAAACATCATCACAGCAGTGATATTTAACTTGCATAGACGTAATATACTACTCATAAGTTTGCTGGCAACCCTTCGACAGTCAACGACTGGTTTCGCCCTTTTTGAGGCTCATCAGGTAAGCGTAGTTGCCGAGCTTCCGTCAATCTTATGTCCTCTTGAATCCAAATTGCACGAAATTAGCGAGATGCACTCATTTGCACACCGATTCCGTTTTGACGGGGTACTCACCTGGAACTCGGGTACTGCGCCTACCTGATGAGTCCAAAGAAGAGCGAAACCGGTAGTAGGCAATCAAAGTTTGCAAAGGCGATATGAGTAGTGTATTACGCCCGTACAGTGTATCGTGACATCTCGAATATCGTACCAACTGAAACATGAGGCGGTCTGGAGCAGCACTTTCAGTTGATTAAAGGCAGCTGGGTTCCAGGTGAGTCTCCCGCAAAACAAATTGGTGTGCAAATGAGTGTACTTTGCTAACATTTTACTCGTTTGTGAAGTGTAGCCCATCGATGATGATTAATACTGAAGAACAAGAGTAGTGTAATCATGACCAATACTACATGTAGAGTACATACCAATGGCAGCTATCTTATCGAATCGATAGTGACCACAAACTCCAAAGACATAGCTTCCTCGCGTAAAGTTAGCTAACCCTAAATGTCCTTAGTTGAACGAGAGTTGAAATAACTTAAAACGGGGCGACATCAGTTTCCCTCACACTATATTTGATAGGAAGTTGAAAACTCTTGAATGTTCATAGTGACTAGAGCTATATCTGGTGTGGAGACTATGTGTGAGTGGAGTGTGACATAATCTCGGCCTACTTTGAAGCACTTCTTTTGAAAATTTGTTTCCGAAATTCGCAGCGGCAAAATATTTTACTAGTATGATATAGAACGCTGATATTAGAGTAGTCGTACTGATGTGCATATTCACAGTGTCCACCAGCATTTTGCCAGCACAAAAACATACACCTGGGGAACTGGCCATTATTTCTTTCAATGTCTTCCTACATGTATTCACGATGTTCGACTATAGCGACTAAAGTTGTCCTGATGTATTACTTCAGGACAACAGTAGTTCAAATATTCTAGAGGAAATAGCCGAGGGGAACTGGTTTTTAACGGTCAAAGGGTCCATTCTCGTATATCTACCAATTTTTTTAGAATAGTTCTTTTGAATATATGTACAGTGTGGTAATGTTTCATGTTCAAATAAGACAGCATTGGTGAGACTCGTTTTGGTCGGCTATGAATCACTTGGTGTTGGAGCGCGTGCGTGTATGTTAAGTCCAGTAGGAATATCAACTGCATACAAACAACATTGTCCGGAAATGTTAATAAACCCATTTCAAAGAGGTTTGTTAAACAATCGCTGGAGTTAGCAAAACTCCCTAGAACGAGGACGACTACTCAACCGGTCACGAAAATTCTCCAATTGATTGATAAGAAATCCACTTTTGTAAACCCGCCTCATGGGTGAACAGGAGGGAAAACACACTCTTGTGGTATACGAACCAGCATAGAAAATCTGTCAACTTTCCAGGTTGTCTCACAGCGACTGTTTTCATTTGGACTAAAAACTTCAAGTTCAACGGTTGTGCATGACTTTGTAATGACGCTGGTATTGTTCAAATATTGCTAGATCGGAGAAGATCGCCTCTCGCAAGGTGACGAGAAGTTTGCTAGCCAGTTGGTAGCTTGCTGCTACGTGATGAACAATCAAGATAGCGAAGATACACTGCTGAGACGTTTTTTTCCTATGCAAAAATGCTCACAATATCTACTAAGTAAGAATGAATTGTCTGTGCCGTCTACCGTGCCGGTGCACCAGAAGTTCTAAACATGTCATTCTGTTATTGGCCTCACCTCTTCGACAATCGTATTGGACCACGGTGAGGCCTCATTGGCATCGTAGCCACGCCAACCGTACAGTAGCCATGTTCGTACCCGTTCTCCCAGCGGGTCACAATCTTTCCTAAATTCATTCTCATCAGACCCAGCTACGTCTAAGACGGCATCAGTGTGTTCCACGACACTCAGAAATACAAAACCGCGTCACTTGCATCCCGTCATCCGTCTATCGACTAATGTTCGGGTTTCCTAAGTGAACACGCAGCTGCTATGCGAACATTTGCTATCTTCCGACCGAATTTCAAAAAGGAGTTTTATGCAGTTAACTGACCTCTTATTTGAACTGGTTATTGTGCACACAACTCCACGTTTCAATGCACTCACTGAAGGTGTTTAACACCGAGTGATCTATTGGAGTTTGAATTTTTCCGAGATGCACACAGTGCGTCCTTTTGGTTTGCTCCCACCAGTGCTTTTAGAAAAGACGGTGATCTTCCGTAGTTGTATCACCAAAATGTGGTTATCGAAACCATTATTCGTCAAGTCTTCTCTAGATGAGAGTTTTCGGTAACCACGCTGAATGAGCTGATCTTGCTACCAGTTATTGCATAGCGACAGAACACAGACGAGCAGCTGGGTTTTATCGTTATATTCACCGGTCTTGCCAGATATGATATCAACTAGACTTGGATAATTAGAAACACCAGAGAAATAGGACAGTCAACTTAGATGGGCCTTAAATTTTATCTCTAGGATTGCCTACGCTGATCTTCAGCTTGGCGGTTCTTAATCAAGCGTGCTTAATTAAAGATATTTTGTTGGTGCTGGCCCATCGCTCGCTATTCCTCTTACTACCAGAACATATGACACTCCGAGTTAGTCTGTCGCACAACACACTTTGATTGCTTCAAATTTGTTTAAACAACCGAAAAAGCATCCTCTACAGAGTTACATTAGAGCGCCCATTACGAGGCAAGAGGCACTTAGTTGATATGGCCCGATTTCAACTTGTCGATGCTCCGACGAACTAATTTGCCTTCTAATCCGGGCTCAGTCTGGCGGTGAGGCGACCAACCTGCCGTTCGTCTATTTTGAGAGGCTCATCTACAGAAAATAATCTCTGACAGACTAATTTCCCCCTCAACAGATCTCGTCCCAGAATTGAAACAACTTACGGAGGAACCCAACCCCATATGTGTAATAATACGCCAAAAGCCTTCCAGAAACCAACTAGTAATACCACATGAGGAGAAATCATTCCTCAGAAAAGCCTGGCTATTATTGCCCCGGACCGTCGTGCTTTTTTGTCACACTTTCTTTGCGACTGTTCAAACGAAATCCGGAATGCCAACAGGTAGAAGCGTGTTGCTCAAGGGATAGCCCACCGATATACCTACATGAATCTGAGGATCTGAATAAACTAGGTCCGTCAACTATGGCTGTTTTGCACCGGTTTTTTGGTTTCTTCAGTACCACATCAACAGTGCCAGTCCAGACTGACGAGTATAATGCACAGATGGACTTAGGTGGCAGCCAGCTAGTTACTTAACTTAACGGAAGGAGTCATTGTGCCGCTTGCGACAAATACGATCTGGGACGGGATTAGCTGTCAGTCTGTCACATGGCCGAGTGTAATCTTCGCTGCAGGGCATTCTTCATCCGATGCCTGTGGTGTACGCCTTAAAAGTCGCAAAGGTGCCAGGACGGTGCACTCCCCAGAGTGATGAGTACATTTCCCTAACTCACAAGTGATCCATGCACAGGTTTTTCACGTGGCTCAATTACCTATGCTTTGTGAACAGTTCGGCGGCATGCAGACGAAGAGGGATGAGAACAGTCGGTTTTCAAGTAACTAGAGAAATTCTTAGCTGGCAGTGTGAGATCCTGAAGGCAAGCTAAGAATTTTTCAGCTGCTTCCAAAAGAAAATGATCAATATTCAAGTTGATTGGCTGCTCAGATTTCTGTTGTGTTTAACCGTGAAAACGTATGGTTGCTTGTTACAACGATTCAGATGGCTTCATTTACATACACTGGATATACCATACAAGAATTTACTTACAGACTGATACTGCCAGTGTTTTCTGCCTGCGCTCAAACGATACGTAGCCACCATCAAGTGGAATCATCCCACGCAGTTCTACTTTAATGAGATCAGCTGCGCTGAGATCCGAGCTCGATTCAAACAAGACATGTTCTACAAAGCCCTCGTTCATCCATTTTAACCCCACTCGGTCATCATGCGCTCAAGCCATACATGTTTACAGCCCGATCACTTATCCATATTGTTGAAGGTACCCAGTAGATTTAGGGGAATTTTCGGTAGAAACCCTACCAGTGTGCCAATCAGGCTGGTGTGAATATCACAAGGCTATGCTAGTTGACGAGATGGGGGAAAGTTGATTGTTAAGGAGGGACTTGCATCAAAAGCGCACATTCACATTTCCCAACAAAATCGGCGAGGATCTAAGCGAGACCGAATATTCGTATTGAACGCGCCCTTACGTGCGTGTGTACGCATAAAAACGCATCCGAATGACCAGAAAATGAAGGCACATGGTAGGCAGAGGCACACAAGTGTTGGATGGCGGTAACAAAAACTCAACAGAAACACGGGTGGTAAATAAAACAAGATTTCAAACAACAACACGCAGTTGGATGGACCACTCAACGCAGCATTTGAGAAATGTGTCTAGTAGATGGCTGGTTGGGGGGAGGGAGGGCTCCTTACACAACAGCCACCGGTTTGGAAAGCCCAACAAAAGGAACAACAAAGGGATAAAAACTAGAGAAAATAAAGGGGCCTCAATATGGAAAGAACGCATCAGGAGAAACGCTTGGAATTAAAAAGGCACAAATGACATTCACTTAAAACCGCTGATCACTGGAAAAGCGGATGCTGAGCCATTGAGGGAAGGGGGACAAAATAAAGGCACACGACAATTTGAGATAGAGGGGATGAAAGAATTCATTTTTAAAAAATCACAGGCGCGGAATGGCATTCAATAATCGTTCTTTGCACCAGATACATAATATAGATACTTAACGTACAAATCGAGGAAACAGGCATCTCAGATCAGAGAGGAGAATTTGGCGAGTCCGCTTGATTTGAGTCTGAAATAGGCATCCATACGGGCGGCTGCATACTCCTGCAAGGAGAAAATGGGGATATTAGGAGCAATAATACGATGGTGAAATATATGTGTACACACAAAGTACAAACACAGTCTACTAGGTTCTCTCCGGCTGGTGTTGACTCACCGTTTATCAACGTGATTTGCGGCAGTAATGCCTTCTTTTATCAGCTACTTATAAGTAGCCCGTTTTTATACGGAAACATTCGTCTCTACTTTTTGGACAATTTGTACACGGCCGTTCTCTGTGGTTTGAGCCGCATATGCTAGTCTGTGCTTCGAAACCACTTAACCAGGGGCGCTGTATTCATTCTATGCTACAGTATCAAAAAATATCGAGCCCTCTAGACTGCTTAATTTTTTTTGGCTATCAGCACCCGGAATTGAACAGGTTGGTGCCAAAGGTCTGCGATCGCGCAACGACACTATGCCCGAGTGTACTTTAATGACAAAACCGCGGGCTAATGACCACTCCAAACAGCATTCACGCAAGACATACTGACGACGCAGTTAACCAAAATGTGTGAGTTATCATCTGTTGTGAAGAAAACATGAAAAGCAGCATTTTTCTAAATCCTGACGAGGGTTATCAACATCTGATGATTTCCAAAGCACTGATATGACAAACACAACAGGAAAGAACAATGGTTGCCCAATGAGCCAGCCCCAAACTAAGACTTTGCCGTTTCTGTCCGTGAAATTCGCCTTGAAAACGATACCCTCTGAAATGCTCTGAAACAACCACCGTAGCACCAAATCACGTCCCAACATGTTCTTCATGGAGAGGTTAACTTTATCGTGAAAGGAGTACTTTTTTTAAAAAAATCCTAAGATTTTACATCAAGAACTGTCGTAATTTTCCCGGATATATACGAACACATTCCGTTTTCAGAACACAGCAAGGTGTGTCTTTGTGTAAGAAATCTTTTTTGGGTCCCTTGGCCTGGATTTCTAGCCACTTTTCGACGACAGATAGTATTCTTGAGGGGAAAAAACATGCGCCGGTTAGTTCGGCCCCAGCATAGTTAAATCTAAAGAAGAACGTGCCTGTGGCCTTTGGGCACTGCACAGAAAATCAAACAACAATAACGGTTGGTGACATCACACCAGGCATAACAGTACCATCGTCAATAAAGCCCCGATACCAGACGTGTTCGTACCATGAAAAGAGCGCGTTAAGACTGCCCTCAGTGGGCAACACCATACCAGATGAGATCAGTCTTTCTTAAGACCGTGTGGTTCTTACTGAAACCATACAGCGTGACGAGTATATAAGACACATTAAGTCCGTACTATCCAGGTCGACTAAAACTCAGCACACTTTACGAAAAGACAGGAGACCCTTAATCTATGAGGAATCAGTAAACACAAAATGTGGCATTTTTGAACTAAGTTTTCATTGATGATTATATAACTTAGCTTGTGCGTCTTTTCTTGAAGCAGCACGACTGTGTTTAAAGCGTTGTATGCAGGCCCATAATCATGGAGCTGCTTGTGTCGCGATGCACGCCAAATCGAAAGTCTGCAGTCTGTCACAAGCTAGAATAACAAAACGTTGCTGAATTATTACTGAGTCAACGTGATAGACTCTTCATTTTGTGGAAACATACGAGAACATTTTTATGTTGAAAAGGTAGAGATACTTAGTATCACATTCAGTAACAATCGGTCAGCTGAAACACCCTTTTGGTGCCTAGTTGTTATGCCACCTGAAGGAGACTCGTGGGCTGAGATGGCATCAGGTTAGCCAGACATGCCGAAATCAGATTCGGACTTCCGATCGGTAAGTTCGCGGCTTAATCACTGGGTTATCTAGAAGTCAACACACAAGCAGTGACCCAAAGGAGAATGCCTTCCAGTTGCAGACTGGCGGCTTCCCAAAGGACTATTACGATGTTCACTGTGTCCGTGGAAAGTAGAGTTGGCTCCTAGGAAGGAGGGTTGTTATACTGAACATTTCGTGCAGGAGGATAACAAGAGTGATGCAACTAACTTCCGAACGCTGTCGTATTTCTGTCATGAACATTTTAGGTGGGGGACAATTATTTACTCGCAAAATTGACAAGGGATATCCTCCTTTGAAGGGGAACCAGCCACAGTTAAGACCCACATCATCGTTCCCTTTAGATGTGAGGCTATTGTAGTTGCCTAGAGCAACTGATGGTCTGGCCATCACGATGATAATGTCGGGTTGCTTAAGTGTGGCCCAGCTTCAAGTGTTTATCAGCGGTATGGCAAACAGCATGCAGAATCTCCGGTCGATCGTGAGAGGATAGGGTCACGAGTTGACTGCGGAATAGCTGATCCCCTTCCACATACACATGTAAAAAACAAAAAAATGTTGCGGGCTCGGTTTTCTAACGACTATGCTCATCAGTGTACCATCCTTTATGTGCGTGGATCAATTCTACCGAACTGGTTCGGTTAACACACTCAAAACCAACACAACACAGTACGTGATTGGACCTGGGTTCGTGATCACCAAGTCGTATGCTCATGACCCGAGAGTTGTCACCTATCAGGCACAAAGGCAGCAGTAACTCAGACTACTGTGTGAAACTTGTTCTCAGTAGAAGCAATTGACTTGACCGGAAAATCCGATTAGTGCTGGCCAGCCGGATGCTTGTGGAGTATCTGATAATTACTGAAGCATGGATTCAGAAATATACCCAATGTCTTTAGCAAATGTGTGGTAGGACTCCAAAAGGTTCAACCACAACCTTTCGTTTTTTATCAGGAATCATTGGGTGGGTGTGGGCGCGTAGGATGTGTGGCGAGTTTGTGGGCAACTTTATAATGCTCTCGATCAGCTTGCACAGCTAGGGAGCCTAAATGGGTAGGAAACTTGGTTTAATTTGCTGATAAATAGTCATGTGTTTATTTAAAAGCGAACCTTTCTTCAGTTTTTCCTTTGAATTAAAATTTTTCGATAGCTACACACATATAGTACATGTTTCAATGACAAAGTGTGATACAGGTGCGAAAGCCTTCATCATCAAGGACTGGTGTCGTAGACGGGGCGAGATAGTTCCAGTGGTTAGAGCGCGAATTTATTGACCGGAAGGTCCGTGGTTCGAGCCCGACCTCTGCCTCTCAACTTCCCTTGTCTATGCCTGGGCGACCTGGCAGTATCCCAGTCCCCGTGCTTCTTTCGGGTAGCATGGCAGCTAGGCACCGGAAGGGTGTTACAGCTGAACGGTATCGCAGACCCTTCTGGATGTAATGAGGGATAAGATACGCTGAAAAGAATGAACTTTGAGTTCAGTGAAAGATTGTCAAACCATGAGGAGGAAACTTCAGGGGTGTTTCGTTGAGGAAACAGGCGACCCTCTATTACAGATGTCCAACAATATCCTCACCCAGCGGTCTCCTTGCAAAGATGATCTCTTGATAGGGTTGGATGTGCACGACTGTCTAGCTAATACGAACGAAATCACTTGCTGGTTCCAAAGCCAAAATGAAGAAAGGGAAGAACTAATGAAACTCGATGTTTGCAGTAGCTTTTCAGAACCCATTGTAGAATTCTCACTTCCGTCTGCAATGAATACACGAACATCAACACATTCGGTTATCTTCCTCTGGGACACATTAGTGCTGAACTGGAATACTGGTTCTTCAACTTTTTCAAATTTTTCCTGGACAAGCTATTACCATGAACCCATGATTAACCTAGAAAGAGATCACCAACCCCAGTCTCATAGGTTGCCTAACCAATCTATCATTTTGTGCATTTTTGTCTTTTGTGGTCCAAATGCAAGGGTACATACCTTGACGTGACATGTCTGAAACGAGAGCTCGAACCATAAATGGATACACCACGGCACGTACACCATCACGGCCAGATGACGGTCGGCTGATTTGGTCCTTGTGTCCAAAATAAATCAATTCATTCCCGGACGGGTTGAATCCCCGCCCAACCACACTGGTTCTCAACTTTTTCAAATTTTTCCTGGACAAGCTATTACCATGAACCCATGATTAACCTAGAAAGAGATCACTAACCCCAGTCTCATAGGTTGCCTAACCGCTCTATCATTTTGTGCATTTTTGTCTTTTGTGGTCCAAATGCAAGGGTACATACCTTGACGTGACATGTCTGAAACGAGAGCTCGAACCATAAATGGATACACCACGGCACGTACACCATCACGGCCAGATGACGGTCGGCTGATTTGGTCCTTGTGTCCAAAATAAATCAATTCATTCCCGGACGGGTTGAATCCCCGCCCAACCACAGCTATTACGCAGTCAACACACAAGAGCACTTCTTGCATTTTTTACTGACCGGTATTTCTGCACACCCCATGGCCTATACAAGAGTCTTGTTGTTTTACTATTACCAAACTAGTGGTAGCTTTGAAGTTTATACTGCGCCGGACTGCTCTCTGACCATACCACTTTGATTTTTCCCTCACTTCAGCTGTGCAGTCATTTATCGATGTTTTGCTATAGAACCGTTCCTATATTTACTCTGACAATACAATAGTGTCAAACCTTCGTGTCACACGCCATCGATTCCCTACCATAAGCATAACCGTTCCTAATCCTACAGGTGGGAACAAAGTTTCCAATCATGCAGTACAGGATGTGCAAGAAATATGCTGTTTAGGGAAGCCAAATACGTTATGCAAGGAAAGTTGTCATTTCAGAATGCCCTTCACCCTCGTTGAAACATTATCGCCTCCTTTTCGGATTACATTTTCCAAATAAAGCCGTCAGTCGAAGCCATAGCGGGAATGCAGTCAATCAGTCAGCCAGTTAGCACGCTTTGGGTGTCTAGCTTCCATGATAATGGAATGAGGCACGAGGGCTGAGATACTGTCGGGTTGCCCAAGCTTAGACAGGAGCAGTCAAGATGCTGAGGCTCGGTTCGAACGGCGGACCATCCGGTCCGGAAGTTAGTGCCTTAACCACTGAGCTATATCGAACTGAAGGGCCATGCAAGGAGCACGGAAATCTAACAATGTGCAAGCGTGAACCCAATGACAACAGGTACTGATAGATCATAACGAAAGGGAGCCAATTTACATGGCGGATAAGGATGTCAAAAGAATGCCGGTGCAGTGATGTGCAGAATAGGAAAAACGTTTGCGTAGACCATTTCAGAGAGTGACATCATGATAAGGGCATACTGTATGCTAAACACGCAAGACGAAGAGGGCAGTAACGTGGTAGGGCTTCGTTCGGTTGCCAAGTTGGGTTGAGAGGCGATAATAAAGTCAGGAGATGAAGCTGTATCACCTATCAGTGGCACGGATAGATTGGTGACCAAGCGGAACGAACGGCTCGGGGATGGAGAACGAGGCAGAGTCAACAAACAAGAACAATGAATGCTGGGGCGTACGAATAGATCTAGATGTGTAGAACAATAAAATCTTTCGGGCATGACGAGTGAAGAGAGTGAGAGGGCGTACCATACGACCAAGGAACGAGGAAGAAACAGACAAGGTAAGTCATACAAGTGCTGTAGACAAGAAGCGACTTAGTACCGCATATAACCAGATGAAATGAAAGTGCCGATGGGTCAGTAAAAGACACCTTAGGAACAGAAAACACGACATATCTAACAAAACAACAGGGCATGATGACTCACGTCAAACCGGAAACGAATGCTTGAGAGCTGAGTTTGAATTAGGGACCAGGCAGCCCAAACAATGTGTGAGGTTAACGATCCCAACCATGCCTCGAGCCATAGGTGATCAAAGGTCACAGATAGTTCCTCATCTCCATCCTCAATCCGATTGATGAGACTGAGGATATCACCGCAAGGTAGATTTGAGGCTTCCGCGGATTTCCTTCGGTCCATCTTCCATGCTCTCAAATAGGCTTTCCAAAACTCTTTCTACCAGAATTATGAAAGAGAATAAAGTAGGGAGGAAGAGACAGGTTATTCCAGTTCTCATGGTTACTCTGACAAAGGCTAGGTTCTATGATTCCACTTGTCCAGAACGACAAAAAGACGCAGCACTCATTCGTTTATTGATACAGCTTTTCATCGTTTGCGGCTACAATATACAGTGTTTCCGCTTTACACAGCCCTTTCACTCAAAGTTTAGTTCGCCACGATAGGCCTGTCTAGATCGAAGTGGATATTGCTTTCCCAGGTTCAGATAAACAAGTCGCAACATGTTCCAGTTACTAACCTGGAAAAATAGGAGGTTTCACTCGTCAGACATCTAATCAGCGACCAACGCGGTATGAGACTCCGAGAGTGCTGCATGAATAACTCAAGTTCACCAGGTCACGGAGGTGGACAAACCGTCTCACCGTGAACTGTGCCTTCGTGACGGTCACCGGTGTTTTACAAGGAAGGTGTCCGAACCCAGGATCCATTCACCGAATACCAGCAATTCACAAACGAACGGAATACACCCAGAGAAAGATTATACACAACTGTGGCAACTTTCGTCCAAAACACACAGAAACATAGGTTACTTGAACCCAGCTTTTAACTTTTGGAATTTCCAAACAGGTGCACAATCGAACAAACGAACGCAAAAAAAATTAGGTTTTGATCAACTGAAAAAGACTACTTATTACACAGATGTTACATCTGTTTGAACAAAGTGCATTTGAAATTTGAGAAATCAAGTTCTTTTACATCTGTGTGATGACTCTTGTCGTGGCCGTTTTTTTCCGCGCTGCCAATGGGGAGGGGGGATTTTAAAAATGCGTTACATGATTGGAAAATGAAGATTGAGTATGCTGAGTTGGAAAACAGGAACTAAGTGCGGACGCGATGATCTAGCCCATTATGCGCGTCGTCAATGAGGCAGTCAAGACGCCTGCGCCTACCTGAGCCGTACCAACCATGCCGCTTCCAGGTTCTTTTGTTTCCCATAACAGAACACTGCTTACGCGCCGAGACATACGGGTCGTTCTATGAGTTTCTTTCGTACGAGCCACCTTTTGCTTCCCAGAATGTGTTCAAAAATACACGGGAACCGCCGACGGACAGCGCCTGACATCGATTCCTCATAACTCTCAATCACGCCTTGCCAATTAAGGCTATTTTCTAGGTAGAAACGGATCCAACACTCACAACAACATGCATTGGGTCATGATGACTTCCACATCACTTGCACAACGAACTACTTTCAGACCTTGTCCCCCACACCGATGTGCGCGCTCGAAGGTTATAAACAATGGTCTCATGGGTTCAGGTAATGGGAACGCGGCTCCTTCAATCGCTGATGGACATCATACCTTGACGACATGGATGAGCTTGGTAGGCCAAAGCGCGAATTTCGTTGAGATCCAAGTACTCGGCTCTCGATCACACAATCGGTTTTTCAACCTTTAAGCCCATCTTTTTTTATTCTCTCGATCGTCTAAACACGCACACATCTGTCTCCGGCATGTTAAGGTTCGATTAGTCTGCAAAGGTGGGAAGAGCTGGACGACCTACCATCTCACACCCAAATGAATCTGCCCAAATCCAAGCCTAGCATAACTATTAACTTCGTGTGGTAATACTGACTGACACATCAGTCGCTGTCGTATAAACAAAATATCGAGCTAGCCAACCAAATCAGCATTGATGTTTTACACATTGCTGCCCAGGACCTGGACTTCCTTTCTCATCTACGCAGAGATGTTCCACATTGCTACCGACCATTGGCTGTTGTGACGGAGGGAATGCTGCACCGACCCGTTCACAGTACTGTGACTTGATCTGAACATAGGGAGAACTGTTTTAGAAAGGGTCAAGACGTGAAGACTAGTAAGGCTATTTTGGTGTACAAGACGGGAGATGAACAGTTAAGATTTGATGGAAGACTGATGTGGAACCGTTCGTGGAGGTGAGATAGCGACGAAACAGAAAACTGATGTTAAAACAAGTGGTATTACGCATCGCTGCCAACTGTTCGCTTTCGAACTGCTGTTATTCAAGTGATGAATTCGCCACTGCCAATAGCGTGTTCAAGGAAATGTACACGCATGAGTGTACATCAGATATGTTCTCAATAAATCCATCCGCGACGATCTTACCATGACTCTGACTGGATTTCATGCGTGTTTTCATCGAGTATCATCGGCAATAAGCTTCGTGAAAGACACTTCTTGCGCTCCGATGGAATCTTTTTGAGAGGGTCCACTGTAAACACGGGATTTGTACGTGAGATCGTGTTCCACCTGAAGACAGGCATCTGATTGAACAGTTTTTGAAACCAGTGGCTGATAAGTCTCTGGGGAAACTTTGGAACTTGGCTAAAAAGGCTGTATATCCACGGACAATCATTAAGCTGACACTAAATGATTCTGCCTCGCGGTTCGGCATGCGCTGCACACCTGCTACTTGAACCCTAGCCTCGTGCTTGCGGATGAACCGATTGAGGTAGTAGGCAAATTTGTTTACCTGGGCAGCTGTATCAGTCGCGGTGGTTTCACGAAAGATGAAATTTCCATCCGGATTGGGAAGGCCAGAGCAGCTTTTGCGAACCTACGTCACCTGGGGCGTAGGCGTGACATCAGCCTCTCTGTCAAGGGTCGAGTTTATAATGCTGCGGTGCGCTCCATATTACTATATGGATCAGAAACCTGGCCGCTGCGCGCCGAGGACGTCAAAAGACTTTCAGTGTTTGACCATCGATGTCTTCGGAGCATTGCCCGAATCTGGTGGGAACACCGGATCAGCAATCCTGAAGTACGTCGAATGGTATTCGGGAGAAACAACTCATCCTCGATAGATGAACTGATCACACTGCATAGGTTATGCCGGCTTGGCCATGTGTTGCGTATGCCAGTGGACCGAATTCCTCGAAGGGCTCTTTTCGCCCAGCCATGTGAAGGGTGGAAGAGAGCCAGAGGCGGTCAAACAATGACTTGGCAGCGAAGTATGAAAGCCATTACCAGCAAACTCAGCTGCGCTGGTCATCGCCGTCTTCTTGGATGGGGACCCCGAGACGGGCCACATCAATAGCTAGAGACATTGTCAGATATGGCCCAGTCGCGCCCTTAATGGCGCTCGTGCATCCAAGCTATTGCCTTCAATACATAGCTCCTTTTCGAACCCCCCTTCACTTGACAGCCCACTGACAGTGCTGGATTTATGCATCAATTTATCAGCTCCCGCCTGCAATGCGCAGCTACTTACCCCTCCCCCCAAATCATCGGTGAACGAAACTGCGGCATCTACAACCACTGTACGACGAGTACGCGGTTATTACAGCTGACAATGATGATGATGATGAAGCTGGCTCAAGCACACGATGTAGAGTGGATGCACTTTCGTGGGAAATGACTGCATGGCGTGCGAGTCGCGTTGAACACAGAACAGGCTTGGTATCAGTTTTGAGGCATAATTCTACGCACCAGAGTATCGACTTGCGGGAATCAGAGATGTAGAGCTCGTAGGACGTTAACTACGTTACGGTTGGCATAGCAGTCACACTCAAGTGTTGTGTGGGTCACACTACGGCACAGCATGTATCCATTGAGATACACGGCCTCGAGGAGTGATGCGTCCAACATCTCCTCTTATTTCTGGCCATCAGGGCCTCAGAGTCGCTGCTGACGTTGGATGTTGTCGTTGGATTCCTGATAAGGTAAATAGAAAACCCGTGTTGGGTTGTGCTGTAAGCAAGTCAATCATGGAAAATATCCGGTAACATAATACGTTGTAGTTTCACTACGCTTGGAGAATTACCGCCTGCCGAGACCAACGTTGTTCTCTATAACTCAATCAGAATGACGCACAACAAGAAGCTTGTAACGTGTGAATTCACAGAAGAACTTGTAAGAGATTGCGAGACGTTTGGGAGCTGTCAGAGTGGTCAGTCTTCCACGATGGAATCCGTCGTGATCCTCTCCGCGCTTGACTAGAGACCAGCAAGACGCGGGGAACAATTTCGCGAGAAGGTCCAATCGTTCAACTTTCTTACTACACTGAAGCCCTATAGCAAACAGACTAACCGACCGGATCCATGAAGAAAATGCTTGCTGAAATCTCTGAAGGGATCCTAGATAGACTTGACCACTGAAAAGACATCGCAGCGATCAATCAAATGTTATGTACGAAAGTTACCCATCTAGGGAAAACATTTGTACCATATAATCGTCGGAAGCGATTTGTTGGGCACCAAATCATCCAACAAAACGATAGTGGAACGACGGGAGAACGCTATGTTCGTGTGAGCTGTCGCCGTTTCTGATGACATATGATCAGTTGTTCCGTACACTTCCCAAATACACTTGTCCCACTGCAGTCAACTGGACTCAAAAGAGACCAATCGAGTAATTCTGACTGGTCCGTTGAAGCCTGTATTTACGTTTAGGATGTGCCTAGAAGCTGCATTCGTTTAATCTCTTCGTGTAGTCTCCGGGGGGGGGGGAGGAGCATTTGTAGTAACTAGTACACAGATACAAACGAGCTATCACAACGAGGGCAAGAATGTTTGTCATACGGTGAGTCGGAGAGAAATTNCGTTCGTGGGATGTGCGTGGGGGGGGGGGGGGGAGGAGCATTTGTAGTAACTAGTACACAGATACAAACGAGCTATCACAACGAGGGCAAGAATGTTTGTCATACGGTGAGTCGGAGAGAAATTCGGTACTCGTAAAACCTAGTCTTTGTTGGGAGTGGTCTCTCAGAAGGCATCAATTCTGTACCCAAATGCTACAGAACCGGGCCGTTGGTGGGCAGTCTGTTTTTAGCGGAATGCTGTCCACCTTAGTTCCTTGTTGTCCATATCTTATACACATCCTACCTTAACATACTGCAGTCTCCTACGATCACCATTATGTTCGATGCAAACCGCATGATAAAAAATGATTAATCCTATTCTAGATTGTACAGTCTGGTGTACGTCACTGAAACTCAAATGAAGCTAGGCCACATGCTCCTAGGGGGGAGGGTTCTACGCTACTTCATTAAAGTGCTCCTGTGACATTACTTACCGTCATACTGAACCACATGACAACATAAAGTGAGCCGTGCATTAGTCCCTAAGAAGTTGTTCGACTGCAGGGTTAAAACTGCATACCTTATAATCAAACAGACCGCTGGATCGTCTAGACAGAACACCAGTGCATAATGAATCCAAAACCATCAGACAAGATAACAAAATTTCCAAAATGGCAACAACCGACTCCACTGAATAAATAGGGTAAATTGTCAGTAAAAGATGGAAAGGAATACCGGATAGATGACTTGTCAAAAAATTACGGACAGTTTGAATCATCAGATGGATGAACAGATGAGGTAAAAATTGCTTCGGACCCTCATCTTAGTGGGATTCTGTCAACTAAAGCACAAATAAAACGGCAAGCGGAAGGATTCTGAGATGCATCCAGTAGTACACACAAAAACATGGTGGGTATTGTTGCGAATGCATTACAGATCAGCATACTGTTGTTAGTTGTCCAAATGGTATGCAAAAGGTATGGGGAAGGTGAGAACGACGGCCTCCGTTAAACGTGTGGATAAGAGGGCCAGGGGTCTATAATTTAACTAGGTTAGAGAGTCACCCACGTACTGCTGAGGATAAGTTAGCTTGCGATGACAGGTTGGCGTGTACCCGTGAATGGTTTATGGTGTCAATTATGTTAGAAATGCTACCCTAAACACAAAAATCATTGGGGAAATCGCCTGCCCCCTCTTACCTGGTCTTCTTCACTGGGATAGGCTTCGTACTGATAGAAGAAATACGGAGGGTCAGGGTTGGTATAATCGAAACACCACTCGTTAAAGTGATTACCAACATCAAAACCGCTGTATAGGGGAAAAAAGAACAAACGATGACAATATCGGTAATGGTGAGGATACGCGATACACATTTGCCAAGTGTGAAGCAGAATTCATAACTCTACCATTACGATGGTTTGAGGTCGTTTGTGTGGACAGTGAGCTGCATTCGAAGCTACCATTTGTTGTATAGTGTTGGAAGTTCAAAACCCTTTCGCTACTCACCAAACATAAGTACTCTGCTTATGGAGGAAAATATGAGACTCTCGCCGAGAGGTAACAAACGTTTACACCTCCTTAACCCATCAATTCATTTCCAGAGGGTTCTAATTCCATTCATGAGATGCACAACACCAGAAAGAGGTGGAGTAGCTTTTCAGCACAGGTTTATTCATACACACCTATCACCGGGGTTCCAAAACCGTAAGGCTGGCCTTGAAAACTACGTCCCGTCACTCAGTGGAAATTAATGACATTTGAAAACGAACAATGCGCTAGGACTGTGTGAATCCACGGTGTGCAAATCGAGAAACTTATGGTTTACAAACGTGTCTGTTTCCAAAGGTCACTGGAAAATTTCCGCAATAACAAATATTGAAAAAATTAAGATTTCATCTGACCTTGACAGACAATACATACGGGATATGCCGTGGCCTCGAGTTTCATGACGTCGAAAAAAGTCCAGCAAAGACGTAATGCTTATGGCCTTACGAACAATAGGTGAAGCGAGTCCCGTGCCAGACATAACTTAAAATTTCGCAATCGTCGGAGTTGCATTAGCTCTGAAGATTGAGTAAGAAATGAAGTCAATGCATGAATCTCGAGCGCCGGAACTGTTTGCCAATTCGCGCCACTAGTGAAATCCAAAAATGAATATTGCTGGGTCTTAAAGGACGGATATATCAGTCTACACTGCCAGCTATATTGTCCTACGGTTGCGAAACTTGGTCAATCTAAGTCTTCCGATGTTTCAGAACAATGAATGGAATTGACTGGAATCGGTGAATGCGGAATGGGGTGATTACGAGACGAGGGCATTTCTCTCAGAGAATGAATTCAGCACTGCAAGCTGAGGTGGCTGGGCCACGTGATACGCATGCTGAGATACTGCCTACCGGAACTAGCGCTGTTTTTCGTGCCCAATTCAGATGACCGTAAACCTAAAGGCGGACAGAATTTGACGTGTCAGAGGGGGATGAACGAAAAGTTTGGGTCTTGGTGGTGGTTTTCGGCTCTCAGGATGCGACCAACTTGTCGGGCTGGAGAAACTGAACAATACAGCAGATAACCGATATCAGTGGCGTACATGCTGTCGGTATCTATCCAGGATGTCTGAATACTGGAAGCTTTACAACTTGGATGTCTAGTGAACTAGCCTTAGGTCTATCACTCTGCCGCATTTCTTCGTTCTTTCCATTATAAGGTCTTATTGAAATAAATTGCCATGGTTGTACGGTAGTGAAGCACCAGTTTTCCCATGTTATATTGCTGTCAATGACCATGATCATAAATCACCGATGTGATATTGCTTGGTTCATTTAACATTGACATCCACGTCTTTTTGTGGGAAGAATTCGAAACGTGTCTGGTGCCTGAAAGCCAGAGGAATCACTTCAAAGAAGTTTTTGCATTTTCGGCCAAAGCGACGTCGACTTTTCAAAATGGTGACAATGGTCCTAGACCAAAGACGAGGAGAGTTGTCGTTGCGACAAAATGTAGAGATTTGTAGAAGAGAATAGTCACTGCACATTGTCACAAACAAGCAGTTGTTGTTCCCTTCCATAGCTCATCCACAGCTGAACAACTTGCGTGGAAGTGGTGTTGATAGGTGGGTTTCCCCACTGGTTTGCAACGACACTGAGGACTAGCGAGCGAGATATGCCACATGTTACGATTGGTGAGTGATAGCGACTTATTAATTCCTTGGTGTTTCTTACGAGTTCAGAAGTCGAGTCCACTGCCAGTTTCTACATACAATCCATCATATTAGAACTGACACCTTTCGCAAATACCGCTACCTTCGAGGTGTGATAGTGTGGGCGGAACGCGACCCTTAAAACGTCACTATGGACTATACAGAGAAGTGGTACTGAATCAAGTTAGAATAAATGGACGGTCGGATGATCAACCTTCTGGTTTCCTTCCCGCCGTTCGTTTGGGTTGAAATACATACGGACGAGTCCGTTCTGGACGGCGCTCAGTATTCGCATAATAGAATTGAATTTTCGAAAGTTATGACGTGTCCCTGATGGAGTAAAGCGATCGAGCAATTGAGTTGAGAGTACCAGTCCAAACTTTAAGTCCCATTTAGGCACTCTGGGGTCTGAGAAATTATCCCACAAGACTTTTCAGCCAGAGGCATGGTTGCTTCAGTGAACAATGAAATTTGGTGAGCTCCAAAAACATGAATGTAGATTACAACAGTTTTTGGTTTGAACACATACGCAACGAAATGCAACATTTTGGCGTAGAAAGTTTTACTCCACTTGTAAAGGTCGTACAGCTGACAGGATTGTGCGGATAATGGGCACCGTTCTGGACCAACGGTGCTGGTTGGCTGACTGTTTGTTGAACCTCACTTAAGTGTCACAATTTCATTCTTTTCAACGCGCAGTCTGTGTCTTGAGAATTACCGGGTGAACTAAGAGCTAGACGGACGGTGCTATATTACACGAACGACCTATACCGACCTTATAAGTAGTGTATGACGTCTATGCAACGCATTGCGATATCTCGAATATCGTACCAACTGAAACATGAGGCAACCTGGTGAAGCGCATCCAGGTGCTTAGGAACATCACAAACGAGAAACTCAGCTGGGTTTCAAGTGAGGCCCCCGTCAAAACCAGATTGGTATGCAAATGTGTGTACAAATCGAACTCACCGATAGTTATATCCAGCATATTCAAAATCGATGGGGAGTAGGTCGTAAGTCCCATCCTCTTCTGGATTGTTCAAAAGGAGCAGATTGTCTGGACAACAGAACAAAAGATGAGAAAATAAATTTCTATCGTTCAGCTGTAGCATTCTTCCGATGCCCAAATGCCAGGCTTCCCGAAGGAAGCACCAGAGTTGGGATACGGCCATGTTGCCCAGACCTTAACAGGGGAAGTCGAGATGCAGAGGTTGGGTTCGAACCACGGACCATCCGGTCGGCAAATTCACCCACTGAGCAATCTCGCTCCCATCCACAGCAATGTGAACCAAAGGAAATGACGAATGGAACAATAAGCAACTCGGAGGAAAGATACTTTCACCAGATTGTGGAACTTCCTTCCGAGAAGTCGTCAGCCGAGGAGCCAGTCAATACGTGATCACATGATATCACTTTCTTTTACTGAAGAATCAGTGGGGCTTTTTCTGTTTGACTGGGAGCTAATCACACCGCTTATCAGCCATCCGTGACCAAACGGTTAACTGTTCAACCACTGGTTAGAAGGTTGCCAGTTCCAAACTATCTGAGTTTCGTGAGAAGTGCAGTGCTGATGACTCTCAACAAGATGAAACACCTGTACAGTGCTTCTCGGCTTTTCAGCATAGACTAGCTTCATTGACAGGAGGAAATCCTTACTGAAAATCGTGAATTCTACGAAAAAAACGAAAACTACAATAACTAGTGGAATTAGTATCTGAATGCAATGACCGGAGAGAAGAGATAAGGGTGCTTTTGTTCTATAGCAGTAGCTATCCGGTGGAGTGGACGTTGGAGATTCTGTACTGCGCAATGATTATCACTTCAAACTCCGCATACAAGTTTTGTAAAAGCAGACCCAGTGAGAACATTCACCAGATTATTCGAGGCTTCCACTGAACGGTTAACAGGTTCATGTTGCTTCATGAAGTTCGGGCGGGAATTGCAGCACCTGAAAGCTTCAGAACCAGATCATCTTCGAAAATCGTGTTCATAATTTTCATAAGAAATGAAACAAGCCCCCACTTTTTCTGCAGTTAGGGGATTGACAGATCCAAAATCTTCATCTGTACTAGGCCTTTCTAACTCACTGGAAGATCGTCCGGCTGTAGCACCCTTTCGGTGCCATGCCATGAGAAGGGAGCACGAGGGCTAGAATACTGTCAGGTTACCCAAGCCTAGATAGGGGAAGTCGAGAGGCGAAGGTCGCGCTCGAATCACGGACCTACCGGTTAGTAAACTCGCGCTGCTTTCAAAGTGATAATGCTGATCTGCGATGGCATGGGCGAATGAGATTACCAGTGGAACACAACGACCATGATGGCGCTGGTATGCAATAGTGCTCTGCTGTACAGTCTTGAGATACACCCGAACAGATGATAATTGGTGCTGGAGATATCACCTGCATTGAATTCCCACAGAATTTCATGAGCATGTTTAGAAACGCGGCTTATTCTCTCGAAGGAACAGGTGAGAGCGTAAGATACGTTTGAACATGTGTCAATGTTTCATCATTATTTGCCAGCCTAATGCACGAATCACGTCAGCAGTAGCTGCAGCCCCGGGCAGGACGTCACAAACGCACCACTCATGATTCACATCCACTCAGCTTGTGCCTCACAAGTTTCAGCTTTGTCGAAAATCGACTCAAATGGTGAAAATACCTTGGAACCTAGCCGGTATGCTACACCAATGGAACGCGAGGGTCAGGATATTTTCACGTTGCTTAATCAAAGACAATAGCAGTCAAGCAGTCTGAAGAGAATTCGAGCAAGAGTTCGCACCGGGGCTATCTCTAGTTCTGTGGTATAGCTACAAAGCATGATCTTTGCAGGCGGGCAACTTTGGATTGTTGACAATCCAATTTCATGGGGTTGGAGCTGGTGTTGGATAGTGTCCTTGCAGCCGTTCAGAAAACCGGCGTTTGGTTGCGCAGTAGTCAATTCCGGGAAGGAAGGTATCCAGCCTTATTAACTAGCGTGGCTCGGTCAAGTGCCAAACATGCCAAACCGGTGACTACCCAGACAAGTTTTGTCCTGCATGTCATCATCACAATGACGCGAACTGAAACACACACGTGATCTGGTAAAAGTTTACGCATTGTGGTTTACCTTCGAAGGTGTGATCTTAAGAGATAGGTATATGGGCCCCCATATGGTAGGATGGAGGCTGCTAACCGTTTGCGCTGGCGATTTCTATCCGGGTCGTCCGATTGAGCATTTGAAGTTGTAGGCACAGTAAAATGAATGATGAAATAAATGATGGAATTAGGTCATGTAGCTTTCCACATTTCCTTCATCCAAACTCAAGGCCTTTTAAAGTAAAATTTCCATGGACACGGCAGTGACATCAACGTCAACGCGGACGTCATACAGGACTAGACAGTCACACATGAACTGGTGGATGACGTCAACAAGAACCGAGAAAACGAAAACAGAGAGTACTTATCGTAAACATGACCGAGACACCACTTTCTCGGAAAACATGTGCGGTCTGTTCGTGAAAACACGGTGCGTTCTAGTTTGGCCGCCGTAAACAACCGAATATAGAACAACCACTGGACAAAATGGATAACAAATGGTCTAACGTCATGGCATCCGAGTAGCGAGTACACCTTGCGTTAAACACTGCCAAAAATAGAAAAATCGTTCAGCTATAGCACCCTTTCGGTGCCTAGCTGCCATGCCACACGAAGGGGACACGAGGGCTAGGATACTGCCAGGTCGCCCAAGGCTAGACAGGGGAAGTCGAGAGGCAGATGTCGGATTCGATCCACGGACCTTCCGGTCGGTAAATTCGCGCTCAAACCACTTGGTCCATCTCGCCCCTTAACCATTGCCAAGACATTGACGAGTCGGATGTGGACAACCACTGGTTCTACAATCACGGAACCCACAACACGTGGTCACGTATTGACTGGCCCCTAGAATGACGACTTCTCAGATGGAAATTTCACTCATGGTGCGACATATACTTCCTCTGGGCTACTTACAGATCGTTAGTAGTGCGAGGGGGTGGAATTTTTATCTAATAGTAGCTCGATCCCATGATCATAAAACACATGACAGCACTAGTACTCTTCCTGAGTGTTGGGGATGAAGAACTCAGGGTGGTTCAGAGCTTACGGAGAAACTCAAGACAGAAAGCCGCATGGTTCGAACTCCGAAGATTTGATGAATATAGTGAAAAAATCCGATACTGCGTTGGAGGACCTGATTTAAAGAAGCAGCATTGTACAACACTGGTACGTTTCCCAGTTGCCTAACTCGTGGAAATACCTTTCAAAGATAATTCGTAACACGAAAAAGCCAAACTACCGACGCTAGCGCATGATTTGTCCAACAGAAAGTGTTTACAACTGAGGATGTAGCTAGTACAAAACTGGAGCGGGGCACGCAAGTTGTTTGAGATGCCCGTGTTACTGGCTGAACCAGTTATCATAAATTAAGGTGCATGCATGGAAAGTGGGGTGGCAGTTAACAGCCTGATGTTCACAGTGGACATAATGAAAACTGGAGAAGGAGATAGTAACCGTGAGAACCATCGCCACTTGCCTTGGTGTTCCTAGGGAATTCGACTCAATGAATCGAGTGGCTTTTAGAGTGATCATTAAAGAATATGGGAATGGGATTTGCCACTCAGGTAGATCAGTTTGAGGAGTGCGTTAGCATAAATGCGAAAGTACACAACAGCCGACGGCTGTGAAGATTCAACCAATGTTATTCACTTAATACAGGAAAGTGTAAGAAACATATAGTTACAACATGACGCACTCTGCCTAAAAGGTCCATCAAGCTCAGCTCGCTATTCCAGTCGGATTTAAAGCTGGAACGAGATTGAAAATGCAAACTACGCGGAAACAAAATAATCTGCACTGGGAGAAAACGGACAACTGATAAACTCTGGGAAGTCGACGGCACTGGAAGATCACCTTGAGTCAAATAATAAGCCCCTATCGCTACGTCGACAAAAAGTACATTTTGGCAGAATACAAAAATACGCAAGGGTCGCTTGTCACGGGAGGCATCAACGACCTTGTGCAAGCAAGCAGATAGGAGAAAAACACTGTACGGCCCGGGCCAAATTTTCCTAGCCGACTGATCAGAATTGGCTATTTTCCAGTAAGATAACCCCACTCACACCGAAAGCGATTGATGAATTCCGAGAAAGGATAGAATACTTTTTAATAAGATATTTATTCCATCCACTGCATAGCCAAGGTATGCACTCCAACCATGATAGCAATCCACTTCATCTGTCTACCATAGGTAGCTCGTAGCAATGCAGAATTCAGTACAAGTATGTTTCCGACAATGGTTAGAATCGAGGAGGCGGTAATACGACAAAGCCAGTGCCCTCTGCTTAGTAAATTTTCTAGGGAGCATTCTGATCATTTGGTTCTATCTAAGCCAGGATGCTGTGCAGCATCAAAGCAATTCCGTTTTCTCAATGTGAAGAATAGTAACACAACAAGCGGGGCTTAACTGAGTAGTTAAATCTCCGGAAAGTGTGGTAATATCCTCTTACAAACCCGAAAAGTTACACAAGTCGCTTCATCCTATTTGAAACACATCATGTGGACACATAGGAAGTCCCGACAAGAACGAAGTACCTCAAATAACTGAGATTTTTTTGGACTAGGACACATCCTCCCATTGGACAGACGTTCCCTGTGGATGTTATGATTACGCGAACAAAAGTAGGACTGCGGCTTTGAAAACTGTGAACAGTCTTTTTACGTCTTCTCTATGTAAGCTACATGGCTGAAATAAATATGCAGAGCTGAAACCCAAGTATGCTGAAACTGAACCACTACGTACTAAAAAGCCTCCATAAAATGCACTATTTCAGTATGTCATTCGACGTTCAGTCTACGTGCTTACCAACTCCATGAGACACAACACACGTGCGGCAAACAAGCTAAGTGTCAGTCTAACCGAAGCCTATGATGTTACGACATACAGGGCGTGACAACAATGAGCCAGACAATCATCTGATCAAGTAGAACGTTATTTCAGACAACCATATCACTATGTCTACCTTGACCAACGAAGTCACTACTTCTGTCCACGGTTGCCACAATCAAAACTTATGGCGCAAACACGTTTTCAGACAATGGGGGGAAACAGCCGTAGTTCGGGTGTGAGAACATATGAAAGGTATCCAAAAAGCTACATGGATAACAACTTAGAAGGAGACGAGTTCGAGGGAGTTCCAGGGGACTTTAATGGCGAAGTAACACCCATTGGTTGAATTTCCTTGCCGTGAAAACAGCAAGTAATATAGTGGGTCTCAAAAATGTCAGAACCCTATTTTGAACCAAATGTACGGGAAGAGTACGGGTATATCACGACTACAGACAGGATGAGCAAAAGTACGCCCCAGTCTCCCTGGGCTTTGCTATTGTCTACGGCCTTTCGGGGGCTTGCGTCGTCATCGGCTTTTCCGAAGCTCAAGAACTAGGCTACTGCTAACCCCTAAAAATCCAGTCAGGTTGAACAGAGGATGGGGGCGAGATGGCTCGGTTGGTTATAGCGTGAACTTAATGACCAGAAGATTTGCAGTCTCAACCCGACCTCTGCATCTCAACTTCTCTTGTCTAGGCCTTGGCAACCTAGCAGTATCCCAGCCCTCGTGCTTCCTTCGGGTGGCATGGCAGCTAGGCACCGGAAGTGTTACAACCGTACAATTATTGTTATTATTAAACAAAGCTCACGAAAAAGTATTATCACTTTAATTTTATTTTGGCTAGATGGATGTGGTCTCTATAAGAAGCATGAGTGCCCTTGGCAAAACGACAGTAAAGGTAAGACCGAAAATCAGAATGGTTGTACGATTTTGTGGCGCACCCCTTTTCGGGTTTTGCTTCGTTAGTGATGACAAGTTGAAATCTGTCAAAACCAGTGACTACACCTTTTATGGGAAGAACACTACAAAAAAAGAGAATATGTGGTTACTCGTTTGAAGTTTCCATAGAATTTTTTCTGATCCTGGAGAGAATTGCCCCAAAATCAAATCGAGAAACAGTACTCGAAGCATAGTTTGGTTAAACCACATCGCCAATTTCGCCCAACTCATACGCAACCGAGCGTGCTGAACACTTCTATGAGGAGTGCGGAACAACCAATCGTTCTTCGGGCCTGTATGGATCAATTTGTCAGGAGTAGTTGCTGACTGCACTGGCTGCCTTGCTCGTTCCCGTCCTATGTAAGACGACCACCTACCTTTTTCCCCCACCGTCTCGGAGGGGAAGGAGACGGAGGACGGGAAAATACCACAAATTCTGTCATACGTTTGTGTAGCAAAGATCTAGCGAGACGGAATGAGCGCTATTAGAAAGCCAATCCTAACTTCTATAAACAATTTTCGGAAAACTGGTGTTAGATTTTGTAACAATTCTCCTGAGTTCTCACCAGAATGTGAAAAGCCCCAAAAACACTAACCTGGATAACTCATTACTCAGATCTGTGAGAATTGTTAAAAGTAGTACTTTAATATAGATTACCGTTGCAGAGTTCAAAAGTCCCAAATCTCATCGACATTAATGCTGTTGGAGCATACAGAACGGCCAAAGTAAAACCTGCCATGAGCTAGACCACAAAAGCTAAGCAGATACAAAGAAAAAGCAGATAGAGTACTCTCGCTCTACCGCAGTTTAGACCTTACACAAAACTGCATGTGTGGTCAACCTGATAATGACATTATGGCTAAAAAGTCAGACACTGAATGCAGTAGTTGGATTGTTTTTGAATTTGCAGCCAGGCATTCGTATTTTGCGCTTAATGAAAGTGATAGTGGATGCGGTGTGCAAGCTGGATGTCCTTGGGCATGATGGCGACCCGCTTGGCATGAGTAGCACACAGGTTAGTGTCCTCAAAGAGACCAACCAAGTAGGCCTCGCTGGCTGCCCGTAGAGCAAAGACAGCCGAACTCTGGAATATGAGGTTAGTCTTAAAGTCTTGGGCGATTTCCCTCACCAGGCGTTGGAAGAATAATATAATAAGGAACTGTTTAAACGGTTCGTGAACTAATTTTATTAAAAATGCATAGCCAAAGCTGTATTAACTTGAGGAGCCTGAGATATTTTTCATTTTCAGATTTCTAGATTCATCAGCATCACACTACACGGATCCCTGGGTTACATCGATTCCACTAGGAAGCTTACGACCCAAAACCCACAGACATGACGCATGGGATTACAACTTAGGATCTGTAGGGGTTTCAGGCGATGTACAAGAAACATTGCAGGAAATTCGAGAAAAATGGTAAACATCAACAGTGGATGACAGTAAAACGAGCGCTTCAAAAAGCGTATCAGTTGGACAGTCTTCTGGCGACTTCCGTTGATCCCACATCCTTCCAAACCTTGAACAGCATAAGATCCAAACTCAAACGACAAGAAATAGTAGATAGGCAGTCCAGACCCATTGAATGCACCCTCCCGTACGGTTTCCGTCCATGCGCGAGACGAATCAGGCGAAACCCAACCAGAAAAGCGCTCGGCCAATGGCCGATCTTACGTCAGCAATTGTTGGATGACAAACAGCAGTTAGAAATGAGTTGTACAGGACCCCAACTAAACCTGGCAAACCCTGCTTGTCGGTACGGAAATTTCAATTCACTGTTCACACACACAATACGCGGCATGACACTACCGAAAAACTTATCAATGCTAATACCTGAGATGCCACATGGATTCCATAAAGGATAACCCTCAATAACTGCTGCTAACGAATAAACACCCGATACTTACATGGACTGTCTTCCTGTCGAGGTAAACGCGACGCTGTGTTGCGGGTGAAACGGAGTAACTCCTACTATAAACCTTTGAAGATCATCGTCATTGTCAACTGTAAGAGACTTTGAAGATAGGATGCCACAGGGAAGGGGACACTTTAGCCAGCTTTGGAATAAGTCCCTCTTCAAATGAGACCTCAGGGTAAGATGTGGGTGAGAGAGGACGGCATTGTGAACCCTCCGAGAAATAGTCACGCTCTGGAAGATCACTGCGTTTTGAATGTTCACCCATTGACCTAGGTGCCAGGTCGAGTTTCAGCTGTTTTTGTGAGTGAACTACAAAACATCGTTCAGCTGTAACACCCTTTCGGTGCCTGGATGCCATGCCACCCGAAGGAAGCATGAGGGTTAAGATGCTGCCAACTCGTTAAAGCCTAGACAGGAGAATTCGGGATGCACAGGTTGGGTTCGAATCACGGACCTTCAGGCCCGTGGCTCCAATCCGAGCCATCCCGTTCGGAACTAAATTAAACTCTTCCAAAGCTCTACTGAAACACTTCATGTAAACCGACTGTTATCTCCGACGCGTGTTTCATACAAAATCAGACACAGTCAGTATGGTAGTCTGCTTACTTACTTTCTTGGAAATCATTGTGGCAGAATACGACCGGGAGAAGATTTTCAGGGATACGTTTTATCTGAGACCTGGAAACCGGAATGAAAATTAAGTAGAATAAACGGTGCGGAGAACCATAACCTGAACATGTTGTGAACGGGACCTCAATATGAACCAGAATTGGGATATCGCCTTTTCCAAACCAGCATCATTCGCTCAAGCAACAGGATTGACTTTACGGACTTTACTCCAACTTACAAGTTCGCGGCTTCACACAGGATTAATGAAAATACCGATCAAATTCCGAGCCATTTCGGAACTAAATTAAACTCTTCCAAAGCTCTACTGAAACACTTCATGTAAACCGACTGTTATCTCCGACGCGTGTTTCATACAAAATCAGACACAGTCAGTATGGTAGTCTGCTTACTTACTTTCTTGGAAATCATTGTGGCAGAATACGACCGGGAGAAGATTTTCAGGGATACGTTTTATCTGAGACCTGGAAACCGGAATGAAAATTAAGTAGAATAAACGGTGCGGAGAACCATAACCTGAACATGTTGTGAACGGGACCTCAATATGAACCAGAATTGGGATATCGCCTTTTCCAAACCAGCATCATTCGCTCAAGCAACAGGATTGACTTTACGGACTTTACTCCAACTTACAAGTTCGCGGCTTCACACAGGATTAATGAAAATACCGATCAAATTTTTCAGGCAGTTTCGGGTTCCGGGGTTTAACGCTCCCTATAGTACTGCCATAAAACCAAAGTGATTCAAGGTACAAAGATACTGGGGGGGGGGGTGGCGTGAAGACTTAGAGTTGAGAAAAACGGAAGACAAACAAGCAAATTTAAATCCTACGAAACAAAACCATGAAAACAGAATACAGGTGATTCTGAGATCCTCACATAGCCTATCATTGACTCTCAGTTGCTTAGCTTTCCATCCGTTAGGATTTACATAAACCGGGGCCACCAAACCCACGTGTTAGTTACCTGAAGATTATTAGAGCAACAGATGTAGTGCTTTCATCAGTTCAATAAGTCCATTTTAATTAACGGATGTGCTACATGAAATTGCTCACAAGATAATTTTTGACAGTACCACCAAAACATCGCACCTCTAAATTGCATACGAACTTCACACACTGAGGGTTGTGGCCTTAATATTTCAAAATTACATCCCCTAGGTATCTGACACCCTTGATGTAGTGGTTCATAGAATGTTCTATATGAGAGTGGCACTCTATCCTAGAGTTAAAGGTGCCTTACTGGATGAAACTCTCCTAAATGGTCGTCCGGGTGACCGATTCAACCAAGGCCAACTAAGACATTAAGTTGCGGTGCCTCTTTGGCTAATAGTGTTCAACACTGATGCTTCGCAGCCATACAACCATGATTTATTTGAAAGTAGTATGTTTAAAACACTGTCAGTTTGTCCAAGCTTAGACAGGAACAATCAAACAGATGGGGTTCAGATGACGAACTTCTCGATTAGCGGCCCGCGCCTTGATTAGCGAGCTGCTCGGGCTTACCATACAGAGTATTGCTTGTTCGTGACAGAAAAAACTGTAGCTAAACGCAGTGTTTGTTGGTTCACAGACAGGCCTGCATCCAAATCCATTGGAATACACTGACCTAATGAACTGACCTCGAGTAAGGGTTGCCTTTTTACCTCTCAGCTATGCAGCCACCAATTTGGTGTTGAGATGATGGTCGAGTGTGCGAACGCATACTCCCGCTTTTGGTTGATAAGCAATTGTGTCTCTAGGTCAGGGCTACGGATGAAACTCAACTTTCTTGATGGCAATAGAGACAGAGCACTTATTGTTGCAGTTTTCAACGAAAGGTGTCTTTTCGTCGTGGGCACCTGACACGCGGAAAAACCAGCGTGTTAGAAATCAGCCCAGCACCGGCGGAGCAGTCCTCCATTAGTCTGGCTAGGGGATCACTCAACCGCACGCTGTAATTCAATGACTGCTTGCCACGAGTTTGCTTCACATTGTGCAGCTAAATATCGAAATAAGGTCACTGCAAAATTACTTCGACAACCTCATGAGAACTCCGATCGACATCCGAGCACTCGCTTAAAGAGGAAGAAGCCACCCTGAAGTTTTCCGTTATGAAATACTGAGAATGCGAGAAGCAATTGACTGTTTGTTCGGAGGTTTATAATGGTGCTCCTCACAAACAAATAACACCACGAACGGACAGTTAAATATTGAACTCCGCGGTTTCATTTCAGAAATAAGTTTTGGAGTCGTATGAACCAAGAGAAGAATTGGAGATTGAAACTCACTTTATCCATTCAAATTCTTCTACCAGCAGAAGACTAGAAGTCATTTCCTGAGCTTCCGCGAAGGACACCTCAGTCCAACCGTCCAGACAATCATCAACACCATCTGCGATATCGACATCTTGTTGTGCCTGTGCGGCCAATGTGGATGCAGTGTCCAAATCCGGTGTCGGTCGACGCGGCGGCGAGTTGACACCGGTTAGCTGAGACAAGTGTCGTTCGATCATTTTGAAAATGAATGTGGGCTGCTTGCAAAACGGCATGTTTAGCGAATGTATTCGTGCCATATGCCGTGCCACCGTTGTAAATACACTTGGCAAAGATAGTTCTGCAGAGGTCAGGGGTCTTGACTAGAAAGAGGGGGAAATAATGTGTGATTTCCAAACAGAAAGTGGTAAAGGATTAAGAGGAAGGCAATGGGTCAAAAACTCAGAAGCAGTAGCTAGGTACAGTCGAGTGATGATTACCTCTGTACTAAGCGACTGGAGCGCGGGACAGAAAACTTCAACGGATACTAAAAAACCTCCATCTAAATTACTTTGACCTCCAGACACACACCTTCAGGAATCGAAGCTTGGAAGTATTTGAGGATAGTGAAAATTGCGCCATCAATGAAATCTCTAACATTACAGCACAAGGCAAACATGCTATCGGGTCATCGGATGCTGAGATCGATCTAAGGAGCGGCTTTCGCATGTTATAGAAAGCCAGCCGAAAAGTAGTGAGGCTTTTACCTCTTGCCAACGACCTACCCATATTTTTCGGCAAAACTCTAATGTTGGCGGCGTCTGGAGGCAAGCTGCTTGGAATAATGGCACATCGACTGGACCGCTGGGTCACGAACCAGCTAAGGGCCGAACGGCGTGTCGTGATTGGTCGGAATGAGCGGGACTTTTTATGAGCGTGTCACACCTCCACGGCTCAGCGTGGATAATTCTGCGAGTACTCTGTAAGCATTCTTAACTGATTTCCATTAAATGCCGCCTTAAGCTATCGTGTTTTTGATACACCATAGTGGGCGGAACTGCTGCTGCTGCCGCTGCAGTGCAGTGGAAGTGGATGCAATGGAATGATATTCGGCTAGCGAGGCCTGGGTTTCATCAGGGGACAAATCCACAACTTTCAAAAATATTACTTGAAGCAAATGAGGTAGACACATCAAAACGCCAGAAAATTATGTGGTAAAATTATAAGGACTTTCGACTATCCTACTGTCATTTCGCATCAATCTCATCTACAAATCAAATTGTCACACTCTGAACTAGAGTATGGATGATGTTTTGATTGGTGATTCTCCGTCCTTGAACTCAGTTTTGGAGTCACAGGCCTCTCACGCGCGGTATACTAGTGTAACTCATTGTGGATTGGTTACTTCAGGACTTTCATGTGCGGTAACCGAAGTCTGATCGTGGAAGAATCAATGAACTGCCGCGCTGCCTTGCTCGAAAAGCTCATTCTGTCTGGCACCGAGTAGCAATAATGATTATTCTGAAGTGCGTATGCAATGGGTATAGTCCTGGTGATCTGTCCGAAGTTCGATAACTTTGCGGGCTAAAAAGACACTCCCAATACATACTCTTCGATAATACCGGACTTTTCAATACACTTGTCATTCGTACCATGTCCCCTTCATTCCTCCAGTCAATCAATGAGGCGTTCTTTTCCCGATCAATAATGACGGTACAGCTTCTCAAATGGCAGAAGATTCACCCCAAAATACGGGGCTCATAACTGTAGTCACTCGCGCGCCATCTAAGCGCGTCTGATGGACTCACGGAGACCAAGTACATCCTCTTTGAATCTGATACACACTCAGTGAATTCATAATTTAATTTAAAATTCATGGGTTGAGAAAGCCAACAACATTGAGATGTTAATAAGATTGATGGATACAAGCAGACAAAAGGGATATACAATACTGCCGTTCGTTGCCGCGCGTAGGCAGGAAGGTGGTATATGTGAACGGAACAGCGCAACAGCTCACACCTCTCACTCTAGCCAAAACTGACTTCCGTTACCGTAAGTGAAAGTAAAGCCGTGAAAGTAGTGATCATCTGAGTCCAACTGAAAACCTGCGAGGTGGACGAGTATACCGAGTGTCGGATATCTGTGACTCCAAAACTGAGTTGAGTTGATGGTGGGGAGGTTTCGGTCAGAACCTCTAGCAGACAGAACCTACAGAAGTAAGGGTTTCGAGGCGAAATGACAGAAATGATACGTAAGGAGTAACTAATGCGTGACGCACATTTCCGACATTTTGCTACTCTGGTGTCGTTTCCTATTGGGAAAAACACTGCTGATTGATAATCATTTGACGCTATCCACTATTAGTGGAACCGTAACAAAGAACGTGCATGATCCCATAAGCTTGCCACCGAATGAAAGAGTAAATGCATGATGACAGTGGCAAGGATAGGAGCTTATCGAACAGAGGAGAAATGTCAGATCCACTGAAGCTGGAAATCAATACACCAAGAAAACACCGCCAATCCGAACCTGAACATATTCTTCTATTCTACCTCCACGAAATATTCCATGCAGCCCGGGACCAATTCGTTTTTCGGCAAGCAGGGCGAAGCTGATTGAGTCCATGACTATGGAGTCGGTACTACTTCGTAGGACTTCACCATAAACTCGAAGCAGCACTCGTCGTGGTTCGTCAGAAACGACTGGGACATCATCCTTCAGCGATCCCAAGAACAGATAGTTGCTCAAGCCACAGTGCCTGGGAAAAATAAATGAGAAAAGTAGACATAGATGAGTGCTTATTCATACGAACAAGATAGGTGAAGACGTCGAATTAGTTCCTAAAGAATTGTGCTTCAAATCGCAACTCAGTCAATGGGTTCATGTTAGGCAATACAGTTTTAGCCTGAAAAGAACTCAGACCGTATGGACTATTCTCTTGACAGTCTGGCTCACTTATTCGTCACTTCGGAATGAGGAGTTATCATCTTAGTGCCATGAGCTGTTGATCGACAGCAAGGATGCTGTCTACAGTTGTTCAGCCGTAGCACCCTTTCGGTGCCTAGCTGCCATGCCACACGGGGGCACGAGGGCTGGTATACTGCCAGGTTGCCCAAACCTAGACACGGGAATTCGAGAGGCAGAGGTCGGGTTCGAACCACGGACCCTCCGGTCAATAAATTAGCGCTCTAACCACTTGGCATATCTCACCCCCGTGCTCTGTCCAACCTGACTGAATTTTTGGAGTTTAGCAGTAGCCATGTCATCATCATCATCATCATCATCATCGACAGCATGACATCATTGTTCAACACTGATGCTTCACTGCTATGTTGTCTATAAACAATTAGCAAATCGTCGAAGGCCTCATTGATTCGGGAGTTTTTGCGGCACAGACACTGAAACGAAGTGACTGAAATGCACCACGTAGTCGCAAACGTACTTGGTCGTTGAGGCGACTGCAACAGCGTCTTTTGAGTGAAAGAATGCAAATGTATTCCCTCGTCACCCCACTGTACTGGACGCGGTAGATTCCGACTTACATCGAAGAGCTGACAGAGTCCTGTGGAGGTATCAAAGTTTAGACAAGCTCATGAACTGTCACAGCAAGTAAGCCTAGTTTTGGTGCGATTCACATAGTCCCAAATTTCCAAAATGGCGTAGTGAACTGGGTACAATCCGAGAATTGTAGCACCTGTCCGCGTGGTGCCATCCATCAAAATTGTCTTATTCACATCAACGTTCTCCGTAGTAGCTACATTCCGTATCAGTGTGGGTTGGCATCCGTTTCCGGGTTGGTCTGTCACATTGAGCGAAGCAAATGGATCTGTGCGCACAATAAGTAATGTCATATGCGGTTTGGATGAGGGGCGAGCCACTCAGTTCTCCTACAGGCTAGGGCGGCTGAAGTGACATGGGCGAGGGTCGTCTACCACCCGCTCGCATACAAAAACCGTACAAGCCTATCAAACGGGCGACCGTCTGGCGTCAAAAGTACTGGCATATTAGACAGGAATAGGACAAAAGTTATGAACGACACGCAATATGAACATTGTCACCTTTTTTACATTATTTCCTGTGCAGAATGACACAAGGGGAGTGAAACGGGAAGAGCTTTATAGTTTCTTTGTGCATAAACTTCAGCAGGTGAGCTAAGTTCATACGAACGTAGACAGTGGTCAAGTGAGCTGTGGCATTATGTACGTTTCCCAAAGTTAGGAAGCGCAGATAGGTTTATTTCGCGTAACGGAAACAAGGACAAAGACAAATATAATCACTTGCATATCAATTTGGTTTTCATGAGAGACTCAACCGAATCTCACGTTTATGGAAATCTACAACTGAATATGCTGCACACAGGCCGCCTCATGTTTCAGTTGGTACGGTATTGGAGATATCTCAGTATATTTTCGTAGGGGAAACTACTCACAAGAAGGGCGAAACCGATCGCGAGCTGTCGAAGAGTTTTTGGGAACCTTGTGATTAGTTTCCCTTATGAAGGATAAACACAGTTCACTGCAGCTGTTGTGTGAGAAACTGATAGCGAACTGGAAACCCCAAAACGATACCAGCAGTATGCCCGCATGACTGATCGACTGCACGCATGACAAAAAGTCAACTATCGATCATTTTCCCGATCGATGAGATAGTAAACAAGCCCGTTAAGCAAGTAAGCCAATGAACTGATCGTAATTGCATTCATAAAACCTAGTCTAAATGGTTCATCGAACTCCGGTCAGATGAACAGCTCGAGGCCTGTGTGTCAGACAATTCGCCAGTAATTTTTAACCATTGCATCGTTTCCGTTGGGTGAAAGCAGCTGATCAGTGGTCAGCAGCTGACTGGCCTCACCTGAAATCGAGTCCGGATCTACAGGGGTATTTTTTTATCAACTACAGTCAAACACAAAAAACCGAACCCTGTGAGCAATCAACCTGTAAGGCCACCCCGTGGTGCACTCTCAACAAGAGATATTTTGATGATAGAACCTGGTCCATCTGCCCAAAAAGCTCCTAGACCTGGCGTCATTTTAAGGTTTTGACTAATGGTCTCTATTACCGTTTCGGGATAGCCACCAACTCATTTTTGCGGTCTTACATGTTTTTAATCAGTGCACACAACGGTATCTCAATCGAGTGGAAATCAAGACCAGTTCAGGAAAAGACGGGATATAAGCCGGAACTGGCTAACATGAGAGGGAAAAAGTACTGTTTTTTCCCGTTCAAACTCCTCAACCACTTGTATACTCATGGCAATACCTGGACTTCAAATATTCGAATGTAGGCAGCAGAGTTCTAAAAGCCAATTCACTCCTTTCGCAAGCTAAGACGGCATCCAAAACCAGCAATGCCCGATTGAAATTGTCTTCTTGTGTACAGATGTAACACTTCAATCTGTGATCTATCGACATGGAAGACTTTCCGATCACTGGTGAAGATAAGGCTTCACTGTCGACTTCCGGCGACAGAGGATTCAGTTCAAGGTAAGGAGCATCGGGTATGGAAGCATTCAATTACTTTATCGCATTTCAGACTTAATGCAGCTTCGTGCGTTTTTTGAAAGCGTTCCAAAGCTCTCCTGAATTTAAAGCACTTACGCTTGAATTGGGGACCTTCTCCGATGCGAAAATGAGTAAATCAACGATAAGGAATGGTCAGTAAGTCTGATAACAAACACACTGTCACTCGTTGCCATGAATAGACATTAGCACGGGATATTTGAGCAAGAAAACGCAGTGTTTCACACCTATCACATCATTCAGAGGCGTCTTCTGTTCCGTCTCATGAATAACCGATAAAGTACATCTCTACAAAACACGAACTTTGAAATGCATGCAGAGTTCAATATGCTTCATTAATTCCTCAGAGGAGACAAGCTGTGCAGAAAACAACGGAGTACTATACCATTCAACAGAACTGGAGAGTCTGTTATGGAAATTCCAACCGGAAAGGGAAAAGCGCAGTCACACGTGTTCCGTATATTTCGTTTGTTCATATCCTTAACTGTTTTCTTTAGTAAAAACTGTCGGATGCAAGTGATGTCAAATAAGCTCATCAAACCGACCACTGACAAGGACGGTGAACTTTCTGTGACTCGTTCTACACAGTCTTCTGAAATGCGAGTAAAAATGCTACATAAGTACAGTCCAACGGCGCGTGATCTTCGGAGAGGGGGGTCAAACTATGTTAGAAAGTCTGGATAGCATACAGTCAACGCTTGATTTCTTGCTTGAAGGTTGGTTGAAAACACTTTTTCAAAAGCGGCAAGTTTCCTCCTCACCTTACAGTGAGCAACAATGAAAGAACTGCAAGACTTGGAAACTGACTTGTGTTATACACGGAGGAGCAACATCCAGAAGGTCTGCCCAGAGAGCTAATGACCATATTTCAGATACCGATCAACAGCCGGACATTCCGTAAATGTAAACTCTGAAATTGTACCTGTTGTCGAGACGAGCACCAGCTGAATCTTCTTGAGCACGTCATCTCGAGGGAGAGTCTCGACGGTGTTGACCTCAGACCATCATACTTGCGAACAAAGTTTAACGGTGTGACTAGAAGCCACTTATTGGAGTATTTAGAGTCAAATGATTTTACATGCTCTCAAAAATATCACTGTTCGTCCCGTCAGGGTATTTTAAGAAATTTTACGAGTTATATCGAGATCTCTACCGTATGTTTAACGCGCCACGTGGCCGTCGCTTCAACTGACGTGTAGTGGGTAGTGTCGCTGCCAAAGGTGAATGCATGACCCGTGACCCACTACTTAGATCAAAACAGCGCTCTTGTATCGATCCTAATAAACCAGATCTCGGACATTCACACTGTCGGCCGTGAAATATGTTGCCGCAGCAACGGTCCGATTTTGGTGAGAATCGAAATGGGATTGATGAAGAGCATATGGTTCACCGTATGAAAACCAAGGTTGGTGCGGTGTCCGAGACACTCGCTCTGCTCGTTCAGATACCTCATAAGAAATAGTGGCAGTTCGATGACAGTAGCGTCCAACTGGTTCCTTTCCACATTGTCTGACTGTGGAGAGTGGGTACTTAGACTGTTGGCGGTAAGTTGGCATGTTCCTTCTGCATCATCTTACTGCCTATTTTACTTTAAGGCTTTAAATGTAACTGAATAAACTTTGTAGTCGTACGGCAGTGAGGCTTCAGTACTCAACACTGATGTACCTGATGACGAAGTATAAATGAAAACCATTGTTTCCAGGGTCACACAAAAACTCGAGTACCACATCGTTTTCAAGTATATTACCGCTGTGCAATCAGGATATGGGTTAGGAAAAATTTCCAATGTGTGAAATGAAAGACTGACCTATATGTGCACTTTTACGAGCCCAGGGCAATACACACATGCGCTGGTACATTGTTGTCGGCTTGACTGCTTCTAATCCCCGGTAAAGGACAAATATTATTCAAGTGCTGTTTTTCCACCAAGACCGGAGAATGGTAGACAGAAGGACGCAATCGTTTTGTGGTCAGATGAGAAAAATTGGGGTCTGTTGGAAGTTTGAACACTATGAGTTCAGCTGTGTAAGTTGAGTGCCTGACAAGGAGCCGTGTGTGTGGAAACATACCTCAGTTTTTCAATGACTACATTTTCGGCGGAACTCCAGCTACCGGCGAGTATTTTTGCGCACTGTCTGTGGAGGTGTTGAATCACACAGCTGCAAAGTCTCTCGGTAATACGGTGACATGTGTGGGGAACAGCATCAGGACACGGAACCTCTTCCACATCCACAGAAGTTTGGTTTTCGGTTAACATTGCTGAAGGTTAAAGGGGGAACACATAAAAGCAAAAGGATAGAGATCCGGCATACAAGGTTAACTGAATTGCTGGTTTGTGTGATAAAGAAATGTGGACTCTATCGAGTCAATTACGGGACACTGACGATAACTGGTAGTAAAATCCCAAGAGTAGTCGAATAAGTTACGTATCATTGGCTCGACATTCAGACGTCCGTAACATCAGAGTCGATAGAACAACGATCCAACCTTTGAAACCGAAGGGTTCAACGGCCAACCGTCTGGAATTACGAACACCATTACGAAATTTTTGGAAAGGGGCACATGGAAGCGGCGCCCACAGTGTCGCTCGGCTCTTGAGCAACCCTGTACAAGAGCGAGAAGTGGCGTACAGACGTCCTAAAGCAACGTAGAGCCGTTGTGCAGACTCATTGCCATAGTACTATAACCAAACATTAATATCATCTGTTCAGTACACCAAAACTGACATTTTTTGTTGATAAATGAACCACAGCGTTTCCAAGGCGCTTGAATACCTTCGAGTTTACCGTGGGTAGGATACTCCAAATGCGGTCGCAGCTGAGCGTCACCAGTGGTTCAAATTTAATAGAGCACTAAGTGGGAAGCGCCGATAACTCTATTCGGATACTTCGAATCCACCACCACCACAGCCAACAATAACAACCTCACCATCACTACAAGCTTTGCACAAGTCCTATAGTGACCCCCTACCGCCAGTTATGTTCACTGAAGAACAGGCTAGAATGAGCACAAATCCTGATATGGACTGAAACACATCCCATTAATTCATAGATTAATGAAAATGTTGAGCTGTGCATTGAACACAGTAGCCCGATTATATGGACGTCTGGCCATGTATGTGCGCTGGTAGTGGTTTCCATAGTTTCGTCCAACGATGAGCTTGTAAGGTAGGGGAAAACAATTACATATTGAAAGTTGTAGCTGATATAACTGACGGGGAATCCAGAGCATTTCGGCAGACTTCCTATCGAGGGATTGGGAAAAGTTTTACATTGAAAACAACAGCTTGGATGCATGCGCACCATTGAGCGCTGGACTGTGCCACATTCGACAATGCCTCTACTCCTTGATGTGTCCCGTATCGTGTCTCCATCCAGAGAGATGGCAACGATCAGCGAAGCCGAGTTTGTCGGCAGTCGGTTTCATACTTCGGTGCCAAGTTAGTGTTTGACCTCTCGTGGTTTGCTTCCACCCTTCGCGTGAATGTGAGAAAAGTTCTCCCCGATCACATCGGTCGACTGACAAAAGGAGCACGTGACCAAGCCAGCGCGGCCTGTGGAGTGTGATCAGTTAATCTATGGTGGGCTTCACGACTGGCTGTTAGGCCATCATGTGCTAACCCTTTGGCGCGTGATGATGATGTGCGTACATGATGAGACGAAGAGGTTTTGAGAGGCCGATGGCCCTCTGGCGTCCGGGGCACGTGACCAAGTTAGCGCAACCTACGATGTGGCTAAATATACCCATGATAAAAACGAAGGTAGCGTACAAAGCTTGTTTTCTGTGATTTTTCCTCTTGGCTAATACATCACAAATTTATATAGTACCAGAAATCTTGTGAAAAAAGTTAAAATCGGCGGTACATACATTTTAGCGCAAGAAAAATAAAAGGAAGGGAGTTGGATGAGGGGTAGGTCAATGGATCAAGGGACGTCAATGTCGGACGGGTTTGTGAGACCGGGTTTTTCACAGGCCACTTCAAGTTCAGAGGTCACACTGGTTTCTTTTGGACACAAAGTTGTGGGTCCAGCAGTCGGATTCCAATCGCTTCTGTGATCAATAGCGGTCTGGATCGTGCCAGTCATAGACGGTTCAGAGGTACCCGGTATATGATACCAAAGGTTTTCTCTTTGTCGATGATATGACCGGTTTCGGTCAAACGAGATGGCAATTGTACTTGAGCCTGGTTTCTTCCAAATACCACTCGGAGATACGGCATTGTTCATGCATTCTTTCCAACAAATGCTCTATCGTACGATCAATGTAAGGTACTCGGCACGAGCACACAATGAGTACACGCGAAAGGTGGTGACAGAACCTGACAATTGGTCCTTCAAACGGAGCCTGACAGTCTGGTTGAGATTGAAGGTTTAGGAGAGATTAGCAGCCATGTATATTGTATCAACAGAGATTCTAAGTCTTCCAGTAAGTGGTTCAGCAACCCAGTCACCTCCGAATGGAAGTCCGATGCAGACAGAATTCTCCCCAACTGAACACCATTTAGGTCTGGGCTTTATAGATTGCAAGGTCTTGAGAGCACAAACCTTAGGTCATTCTATGGGCGGTCGGAGGAGCATACCTTCACTGCTCTCTCTCAGTCAGGCATCTAAGTAGGTTACGTTTTTGTTGCAACGGAAAGCTAAGGGAGATGAATATATCGACTTTTCCACTTTCGCTTTATGTGGACTTTGCTATCTATGGTCGAGGTCGTCTTCTAGTCAATAATGATATTGAGAAAACTTAATTGTCCCTTCTGTTCTGGCTCAATAGTAACCTTGAGATTAGTAAGGATTGAATTGAGAATACTTAGCAATTCTGTTGTACAGATACTTTCGTCAACAATTACGAGGATGTCGTTCACATAGCAATGAGCCGTGAAATGAACGCATTCAATTTCTAAGTGGACCGGATACCAGAAAATGTGGCGAATCAATGCAAACGTTTATTGCAGACCTTGACTTGGTCAACGTCTTTGTGGGGATCTAAACACCAGCTGCCCCTTGGAGAACGCCACAGGACCCATCGATCAGGTGTCAAAGACAGCCTTTAGGGTAGGAACGATGGCCAACGGTAGCCCTGTTTTAGTAGTTATTGGAGGGATGGAATTCAGCTTGCCATTTACGAATCTTGTTCGCGATGTACAAGGTCAAAAAGAACTTTGGGTTCTACGGATACCAGGATAGTGCCACCGTAGTTTTTGCACGATATCCCAGGATGGAGTTAAAGGATTCTGCTTGCGAATGGTTAGAATGTTATAGAACAGGTGATGGACTTCATTGGATAGCTTGTTACAACTTCCCGGCCACATTGTCCCAGGCTTGTGATGGTGACGTTTGACTAGTCCACTAATGGCGTCTTGCCTCCATGTGGCGCTCAGATGTGTATTTCAATAGACTGCGAAGAAGTGAGCATCTTGATCGCGACGGTATTTCCTAAAGAGGATAGGTGTTTTGGAAAGGTCCTTTTTCATCCCGTTCTCTTCGCTATTCTCCTTCTTGCTCTATGACTCTGTGATGATTAGGCATTAATTTGCACCGCTGGAGCATTGATATCTATGAAGATGACCTTTCGGGATACGGTCATCCTACGGCGACGTGACTGTCATAATAGTACCACATCAGTAAAAACTGTTTAAGATCCTGAAGTCGCGCAAATAGTTCGACACAGATAAGCCCGTTAGTATTCTCCAATCATTACCCCAGAACAACAGGTAGGCGAATTCGACTGACTAGCCTACAGAAGCGTTCAAAGGCTACCAGCGTATGGCGCCCATCGACGATGTTGAGCGGCTCACCATGAAAAATTTAAACACTGGCACCCGTGGAAGAGGCAGAGGTACAAAGTCAGTACAGTGAAGTTTAGCAGGAAACCTCTAAAGCAAGAAACGCTACTTCTAGGTGAAACGGGTTCAAGCTAAGTACATCGTGAGGACGGTTACTCGTAAAAACCTGGTCTCTGACGGGCATGTGATATCTAACCCGTAATCGTGCGGGATATGCACAGTTACTTTCTGACTACAAGCACTTATCATATCATGGACTCCCAGAAGCCGATCTTTTCATGCTGACAGCCTCGAAACGTTTGTTGATCATCCTTGTCACTGGGCTAATGCAGAGTTCGTCGCTTTTCAGGAGCATCAAAAATCGCGCAATGACTAATTTGGACAGTTTCATCATCATTATCATCCTGGAAAGTGTAAAAAACGCCCTTCTGCCAAGTCATACGTTGTCCACCTCGTAGTCTGCGCCATTCGTGGTAGAGATGCCTCAGTGGTTAGAGCACGAACTTACTGACCGGAAGGTCAGTAAGTAAGGCCTCTGACTTCCCCTGTCCAGTCTTCGGCAGCTTGGCAATATTCCAGTTCTCATGCTTCCTTCGGGTGGCACGGCAGCTGGGCACCGAAAGGATGTTACAGCTGAACGCTTTTAAATATTTTTTGCGCCATTCTGAAGGAGGCACGGAGAACAACACTCGGCTCGGTATACAGGGTTCCGGTATCCGTAGCACATGACCGAGTTATCTTAGTCGGTGGTGCTGGATTTTTCCCCGACTGAAGTACCTGCTATACAACCAAATACCCATTTTCTAATCACCTCGTTACCAAAACGCTGACGCTATCCAAAACCAGCAGCGCTTCTGAGGCATCTGTGGTCAAAAATCTGAAGATGCTTCACATCGTCTGTCCGCAGAGGCTACGTCTCGTACCCATACAACAACACAGCCCTCACTGTAGCCTGGTACACGCGACACTTATGATCTAGTGATGTGCCTTTTTGACGCCACAAGTAACGCAAATTAGCAAACATGATTCGAGCCTTTGGGATTGTCGCACTGACTTCATCAGACACATTTCCGTCAGAGCTAATACAACTACCGAAGTATGTCATATTTTGCACAATCCCCAGTGATCCCCCTTGAATTGTGGGGGATATGTTCAGAGACTGCATATTCTGGAGCATGACTTTGCACTTTGAAGGTGCCAACCGCATGCAAAAAGATGATATGATGGTGGTCAGTCCATTCAACACGGCTTGTGTTTCGCCTCGGTCTTCACAGATGATGGCAACGCCATCTGCGTAATTCAGGTCGACAAGGCTCTCATTAGCAACAATTTGAACGCCGGGGTTTTGAAGACCTTCAAGCGTTCGCCTCATCGTTTCATCAATGATGAAGTTGAACAAGCATGGAGACAGTGTACATCCTTGTCGGACATTAATTTTTGTATGAAAGCTTTTGGAGAGCTCACCATACACTCTC